GGAGCTTCCGGCGGCGGAGGGGGAGGAGGTTACCTGGGGATCGGAGGTGGAGATGGAGGCGGAGCGGGGGGGGCTAGGGTTAGGGTTTCGAATGGGGATTGCGTTTGGGGAGAAGCAAGAAGAAGAAAAAGGAGAGGGGATTGAAACGGTGGGGGTTGGGCAACAGTAGCAGCAGAGGCCTCTCATCTCCTACAGCGCTGGCTTGTAGCGTGGACCAGAGGCCGGCGAATGGACTTTATTAATGACGATTTTTAAGTCACGTGACGTAAATATTATTATCCCGAATTTCCCCATGTAACACTGACAAGCCAACTTTATAACATTTTAATCTTTAATGTTTGTTGTATTTGTTGTTAAGCATAACATAATTTCGTTTAATTTAAACCTACCACAATTATATTTTAATATAGAATCATGATGGGTTTAACAGTAAATCCAATAAATATTCTAAAAGTTATAAAATTAGCTTGTGACAGTCACATAGAAAAATTCGGAGAAAATTCTTCTTCAAGTTTGCAAAACAAAATATATTAAATCTCATTTTTTAGAAATTTTAGGGTACATAAGTCCCAACGAGAAAAATATGAGGGTACATAAGTGTAAATTAGGGGGAAATAAATTTGATTAATATGGCTAGGAAGGGGGCCTATCAATGTATGCCAAGGCTAAGAGCTCTAAAACTATGAGATCTAAAGGAGGTGCCTAGCCTTATAACGCACATAGTAATTAATTTAGGTTCAGCAAGTAGCCATTACTGCTGACTCGAACTCAATGTTCTTCCATACCGTATTCATGAATTTGAAGTTTCTAGAGTAACAAAGGGTGACAATCCCCTTCGATTACTCTCTTCTATGGATGCATGCCTCATGAGCTTCTTCTCAAATTGACCTACCATCTGTTAGCGAAACTAATTATGTTATAGCTTCGATCTCTTAATTTAACTCTCTGATTTCCCAGATGTTTAGAAACCCTAAAACAATCCCTTATATAGGTGTACAAACGTGGATGGCAGTTTGGTAAATAACCAGACCCAAAACCAACAGGAAAACGCGTGAACAGAATCCCAAACGAACCAGGAAACCCTCGATGAGTCGACTCATGACTGAGATGAGTCGATTCGTCCGAAACTGGAGAAATCTTAATAACCAGCGATGAGTCGACTCATGACAGTCATGAGTCGACTCAACCTGATGAGTCGACTCATAACAGTCATGAGTCGACTCACAGGCTGAAAACTGGGTACTTCGATTCTTCTGCTCCTCGTCTTGTTCCACGCTTCCTCCTGTGTTCCCTTATACTGTTTGACACCCCCTATTCTCATACTAGTATGAGAGTCATCTATCCTCAAGCTCCCATGAGGATCGCTAAGTTCTGAAGAGAAGATACACCTGTATCATGTGTCCCCTCTTTAAGAACTTGAAGTCCCGTTCAAGTTAGAACTTCAGCTGAGGAAACTCTTGAGCTCCTCCATCTTTTCTGCACCACCTGGCCTTGCTAGGAATCCGGTCTCGACGTCCGATCGGAAACAACTCATTCGTCCCGCGTCTCATCATAATCACCGTTCGCTCTAAGTTGCAATCCTTTGTCGATGACTTTTCTGGAAGTCTAATGCACAGCGAGACAAACTTCTTGCTTGCATTCACTAGTCTCTTCGCTCGCGTCACCGTCCCCAAGCTTGTCTCCTTCGGAAGAGATTCCGAACGAAATATGAACTTTTCACCATCCTTAGTGAAGGTGTACTTCTGAGCCCGCCTCTCGTAGATCGCATATCTATCCCATAAGTACGGATTGCCCAGTATAATCTGACAAACATCTAATGGAATGATATCGCATGTGACCTCGTCAATATACGACTCGTGGAGCGCAAATTTGACAGTGCATTGATCAACTACACTCAGTTTCTCCTCCTTCTGAATCCACCCCAATGGATAGGGTTTCGGATGCTTGACCGTCTTCAGACCTAGCTTCTGCACCAATGCCTCGGATATCAAATTCTTCTCACTGCCCGAATCAACAATGGCATCAACCAAACTGGTCTTCACTTGCAACTTAAGAACAAAGAGTTGCTCTCTCGGGTCGTCGTCCTCTTTCGTGGTCTGTTTTCTCGTCATAAGATTGAGACTGCTGTTGTGCTCTGTCATCCCCGGGACTTCCTTCGGACCTTAAGCTATCATGTATGCCTTTTTCTCCTCCTTCCTCTTCAACCCTCTTGGTTTCAGATGAGGATACTTCTCCCAGCACCGATCAGCTTCGTGCCCTGTCTTCTCGCAGTGACTACAAATCAGCTCTGCTTTCCCTGGATCACCCTTTTTCTTCTCCTCCTTAGATTGAGAACCACTAGACTCGCCTCCCGTCTGTTTGGAGTCTCCCTTAGCCTCGTTGCCCTTATTTTGTCTACCCTCAATGGCAATTGCCTTCACGCTCGCCTCTGCAATTGATTCCACCGTGAATAGCCTCATCTCCTTTCGGATGTGATCGCTCAATCCCGCCATATACTTCATAAACACGGAATATTCCTCTGTCGCAATGTTGAGGACCATCGCCTGCTGCTGGAACTCCGTAGTGTATTCTTGAACGGTTTGATTGACCCTTTGGTGCAAGCCGTACCACTTGTACCAACGTTCTTCAAGGAATCCCACCGGATAGAACTGTTTCCTAAGTATCTCCTTGAACTTGTTCCACGACACCGCCTTATTCTCCTGCTTGCAGTAGGATTTCCACCACGTCAACGCGTGCCCTGAAAGCTTTAAAGTTGCGAACACAATCTTCTCTTTCGACGAATAGCCATAAAGAGTAAAATACGTCTCCATCCGCTCGATCCAGTCATCAAGCCTCTCGACGTCAACACTCCCATCATAAACAGGAATCTCCACCTTGAAGTCAATCTTCAGGTTCTGATAAGAATTCTTACCCACTTGAGGCAATGCAGTCTTAACGGTCTCCTCCTCCTCGTCGTCAACAATTTTCTTCGAAGAAGGTTCACCTTGTTTGCCACCTCCATGGATAAGACTGACGAGTTGTGTGAGAGTCGAACATATCGTCTCGATCTGCTTCTCCAATGCATCAATCCTCGCTGAATTGTCTCCTTCAGTCATCTTCTCCTTCCTTAAATCTTAGACTTCTTCCAATGAAATAAGGATCTCGCCAAGCTTCTTGTATTGGGATCGAGTAAGGACCATACACAGGATGCCCCTTTCACCGGATCTGAGGCTCTGATACCAACTTGATACGAGTTGCCGTGCGAGCACCCTTTGGTCGCGGAATTACCAAAAGGTGGGTTGAGAAGAGGACGACCAAAACACAAGAACAATTCAGTTTGGCGAAGGAAAATACCTTCTCTAGATTATGAAGAACAAAAGATTACAATCTCTCCCTCACAATCTCACTCTAGAATTGAAGAACAAGCTCTCCAAATCTCAATCTAGAATCTAATCTCTCTTGATTAAACTCTCTGACCTAAAAGATGTTTAGAAACCCTAAAACAATCCCTTATATAGGTGTACAAACGTGGATGGCAGTTTGGTAAATAACCAGACCAAAAACCAACAGGAAAACACGTGAACAGAATCCCAAACGAATCAGGAAACCATCGATGAGTCGACTCATGACTGAGATGAGTCGACTCGACAGAAACTGGAGAAATCTTAATAACCAGCGATGAGTCGACTCATGACAGTCATGAGTCGACTCAACCTGATGAGTCGACTCATAACAGTCATGAGTCGACTCACATGCTGAAAACTGAGTACTTCGATTCTTCTGCTCGTCGTCTTGTTCCACGCTTCCTCCTGTATTCCCTTATACTGTTTGACACCCCCTATTCTCATGCTAGTATGAGAATCATCTATCCTCAAGTTCCCATGAGGATCGCTAAGTTCCGAAGAGAAGATACACCCGTATCACATGATGAACTCCTCCAGCATATGAAAAGAAAGCATCTGACAAGCATTTTGAGCATCTTGAAGCAATACTTCAACAACTTATGGTAGTTTCCCAACAACAGCATGCAAGCTCTTCAAGAGGGAAATGACCGCTTTGTGGAGATCTCTTTAGGAAAAGAGCAATCGTATTATGAAGACACAAACTCTATCCACTCAGGATTGGAGACATCAGCTCCACCTAAAGTGAGCCATGAGACAAAGGCCCTTGAAGATCTCCAATTGAAGATCTCCAATTGAAGATCTCCAGGATTAGTTCAAGGCTCTCACGTAGCGGTTTTCTAGTTAACCGACAACTCTACAAAATACTCACAGTGTACATATACAAACTACAACCTCAAGTGTCGGTTCTCACGTATCGCCTCCCTCAAGTGTTCGGGATTACTACCTCTCACCAATTGAAGATCTCCAGGATTTTGTCTGGTTCTTTGGGGTTTTGGTTGCAGTATTCTCTCCTTATAAATACCTAACAACCCTATCTACCTCAGCACCAAGCTTTCATTGCAAATTACTTGAGTTTAAGTTTATTGTTTTCAAAAGAGCTTTAACTTTCATTTGCTTTCATTATTTCTAAGTTCACATCCCAAGCTTCAATTGCAATCTCTCATCTTGCCATAGGGCTACTGTAAAGAGAGAGTTTTTCTTCGAATTGTGACTATTGTGAGATTGATCTCATGGAGATCTACTGTGTGGTTGTGATATCTCGGAGGAGATCGTTGTGTAGAAGAAGTTTCGGTTTTCAAACCGGGTGTGTAGTGGATTTCTCCTCGAGAGTGAGGAGCGGGGGCGTAGGTCAGCGGACTGAACCTCATGAACACATCGTGCATCATCAATTGGCTAACTATCTCTATCTCTACTCTCTTTTTATTGTCATTGCATTTCATTTTGTGTGTGATTTGTTGGAATTACTTTTAATTGCATTTTATTTATCCATAAACCCTATTCACCCCCCTCTAGGGCCTTTCAAAGAGGCTAAAAGATAGCCTAATTTTTAGGGTGTCTGTTAAATCTCACTGAGTATTGGATCCTAAAGAGAGATCTTAATCGCAAA